AGAGAGAGAGAGAGAGAGAGAGAGAGAGAGAGAGAGAGAGAGAGAGACTGGTGAAGACGTAAAGACTTCAGAGTGTCACATTTGATTAGTTCTTTATTGACACACGCATGTAAGGAGCAGAAATAAACACTGAACAGGTAACCTAAAGTGTCCACGATTGGAATGCAACCGGTTTGTTTATTCTTGATTCATACTGTAACAAGCAATCACAAAGCAGAACATTCACAAGACCTTGGTGAGTCATGTCAGTAAGTCATACTTTGTTAGAACCTCAAAGGAAATATCAATCAGACTCAGTGAATGTGTTAAGCAGAGGTCTTCAGGCGCTTATTAATGTTATCACTCAAGGTGTGAATTACAGGGCTGGAAATATTCTCGATTTGTCTCATTGTCAACAACTCACCAAAACAAACAGGGATCTGATCTTGCTAACATTTATTTCCTGTGTGTATAGCTAAAGCTTGATAACTTATTCCACTGTGCCATAGTGTATAGATTAATGTTTAGGTTTGAATCAAAGTTTATGTGGTTACCATTATAAAGCAATTATAGCACTTGCGATATAGACTGAAAGAACATTTCTTTCCACCAGAAAGGGACACAGTGAGAAAGAAAAGAGACGAATGATGAGGTAATCGTAGTCAATACTGCTGCAAGTGGGGAAAGCTCTGTGTCCTGGTGATTAACAGGTAGAAGTGCCGAGCAGACAAGCAGGCCGACAGAGAGACCTGTTGTTGATGGATGACAGTAATAAGTCAAGCAAGTCGATTGAGAGATGACAGCAGACTCACATTAGATCAACCCTCGGGCCCTGGCTGTCAGCGCCGGGCAGTTCACTCGCAAATTATAGAGCATCTCACCGTGAGAGACACACGGACACATTTTCGTACCAACTAACATGGCTGCTGAAACATACACACATCAACACCTCAATATACTCAATATGCAGACACATTGTAATATGTAACATGTCTGTCAGTGTGTGTGTGTGTGTGTCAGTCACACACACATACCGACATACCTATAACATACGCATGCATTCACACGTCTACTGCACCCATGCATACCTCCAAACAGATGCATGCAGCAGCACACATGGTTCCCTATTATGCATTCTCCAGTGTCCACCACTTCACACACACGTTATGCTGAAGCACACACTCTTCCCTTCCTTCAAAACTTTTATGGAACATGCACGCACAGCAATGTGTGTAAATTATTCTATGTATGTTTTTCAGAAACACGATTGAAAATGTTTTTATTCTATCCAGGAGTGGATTTAATGCAGAAGTCCACTGGTTTTTTTTTTTTTTATCCTTGACTTGTTTTTTCTCCAATCACACAAGGCCCATAAATGAACTCCCACACACAAAATACAAAACATATAATTTGTCATTAATTATATAAACCAGCAAAGACATTAATTCTGAAATTCTTCTGAAAGCGTTGCACAAAATGAGTGCATTAAATATAGAGCTGAAGCCCGGAGGCAATTGGCTGATTTCATACCTGCATCGGAAGAAAATCACTTAAAATATTCACAAAAAAATAAACAAGAAAACTGAGGTACTGCGGACATGCATATTCAGAGACTGTCAACACACAAACCAGCAGCTGTGATGAGTGAAAAAACAAAAGGCAAGCACAAAACGTAGGCTGAATGTCGTTGGGACACTGTACTGTAGACAGTACGGTGCTGAGTCTCAAGTGATTACACCGAGCAGAAGTCATTCAGCATCACAGCCTCCACCTCATCCATCACTTAACAGACGACCTTCTAAAGCCACTTTTCCTCTTTCACCTTCAATTCCAGCCCGTTAGAAAAAACAAATAAACAAACTATGTTCCCAGTATTTATGTTTTGTCTTTTAACATACTGGGGAGATGCATCCGGTATGTGCACACTAATGCATGTGCTTTCAGAGACAATCAGGACTTCCAGTATCCATAATTATTGGTTATGATTTGCTAACACAATCTAACCCAGGTTGAAGCCCATTTATGTTATTGGCCAACTATCCTGTTACGAAGTTAACGAGTGACGCCAGTTTTATGGACATTTCTGTTTTTAAGTTGGATATAAAAGCATACATGTGTGTAAAATACCACCTTCCTAACACCTTCTGACTCTGAAAAAGTTGACAAAACTTCATCAAAACTTCAACTGCGCTTCTCTTAAGCAAGAGGGGATTTTGATTATGCATGGAGCAGATACTTTTACAATCAAAGTCAGGAAAGCAAACACGTACACACCCACACACAGGAAATGAAGCGTGCACCACATCTGCTGATCCTCGACTGATTCTGAAAACCACCACCTGTTCTACTTTCTTATCATTCATTATTCATACTGGACTGTGCAGTATATCCAATATCTCATCTTTAGCATCCTGCTTGGATTCATACAGTGGTGGGGCACCGACGATGAAACAAAACAAAAAATACAACAGAGCTACAGTTACACATAAAGTGTTTCACATTTGAGATAATTTGCTGCAAAATGGGACCAAGACACCGCCTGGTATTAATTTATCTGCAGCGTGATCGGTAAAATCAAATCAAATCATGAAGGATACCGTTGAATAATTGTTCTAAAAGAATAGCTTGAGGCTTAATTCTTTCTGAGTAGTTCCAGCGAGTCTACTGTACATACATCTGTAAAGCTGCACTCACTCATCAACATGTTTATATTAACAATGGAATCGAATGACTACGTGTAATGTGTCGCTTGGAGTAACAAACCCACAGAAAAATCATCATCAGACTCTCCACTCTATCACTTCATAAGGTGATAATATGTCAATGCTGTGACTAAGATTGCTCTGCATCTCCCAAGTGGCCAATTAAATCAATCGATACTGCTTTAAGTGCACATGCAATCGCAGGCTTTAAACTTTATGGATTGGGTTTTAAATCTGTATGCAAAATGATTATATTGAGGAGTCTGAATTAGGGGTAGATGTTTGTCTGCAGTTTCATGTAATCTGTTTCTTGACAAGCTGAAAGACATCCTGAGAACTGCCTCATCTTCATCGGTATAAATGATTAGAACCATTATGCAGGGAATGAGAAAACAGTGTTTTACCTCTGTTTTAGATGCAGGCTGAAATTACACCACCTGGCTAAGACTAAACTCTGATTACATCCGCTCATGACCACAAAGCAGTCTAAATTAATGACCACAGTGTTTCTATTGTTGGGAGTAATGCCACCGATTTGCTGTAAAGTGGTAAAAGATTACTGCCCGTCAAGCTTGTGCCGGTCTTTGAATTATCATCATATGCCTCGCTTCAAAGGATGACATCCATTGACATTTTCTATCTACCAAAACTAGTGTGGTGCCAACTAAGATCTGAATCCAAAGGATTTGATGTGGAATATTGAACTACTTGAATATGTTTTGTCTATAAAAAGTGCCCCATGTGTAACTAAGTTCAACCTGTGTGTACATTTCTTGAACGAAACTGCTTCGGGATGCAAAATACATTTCAGTGTAAATTGACAATAAAGTGATATTGTATCGTATTCAAAGCAACTGAGAGTTTCTTTCAAAGGGTGTGTGAGCACAACTCAGTAGCAGTGTGAGTTCAGAGATCTGAAAGCTCACGGAGCAAAGCAAAGAAAGCTTCTTTGCTTTAAAAAAAAGCCAGTTAAAGTGGTTTAGGCTCCTGATTTGGATGCCAGCTGGATGCCTCTCTGTGGAGGTACTCCAAACATGTCCAGCTAATGGGAGACCCTGGACAAGAACCAAAAACACACTTTTTGTTTTGGATTTTGTTTTATCCTATCTGGCCTGGGGTTGCCTTTGGTTATCCGAGGAAGACCTGGAGGAAGAAGCTAGTTAGCAGGGCTTAAGGCTACTTTGATAAAGGCCAAGGTGTGCTTGAAATCAACTCATTTTGATGACTTCTAAAGGCAAATGTTCTTATACGTGTTCCAGACGTCCACACTTGAAGACTGCCGGCACAATGAATCATACAAATGGGAATAGTGCTGCAAACTGTCAGACAGCCTCGAATGGAGAATTTAGGCACTCTGTCTTTTGTAAACAAAATGATTTATCCTGACTCGACACACCACACCCGGCAGGTGCTGTTAAAAAAGAAATAAAAAATAGTAAGTGAATAAAAAAATGCTGACCCCACAATCCTCAAAACAGTAAGCTCTCTGTTTAAGCCAGATATTGAAAAGCAGATCAGCATGGGGTGGGAGAGAGTAAGGTGAGACAAACCAGAGGCGGAGGAGGAGGAAGACTAGGTGGTGGGAGGAGCTAGAGAGGAGAGAGAGAAGGAGAAAGGGAAGCGCTGAAACAGGGAGTTCAACCGAGGACGCTGTCCTCAAAACACCCTGCTGCTCCTGCAGAAATTCTGCCTTGGAAAAAAAATACAAAGGCATTCTCACACAAGCAGACACACATATGCATTCACACACAAATGCATGTGATGCAAATGCAGATATGAACAGAAACTGACAGAGAAAAACAAGATGAAAGAAGTTAAACATAAAGAAAGATGTGGGGCAGGATGAGAGATATACATCCGTAAACTCATATAACTAGTTGGCAAGCACATGTTTTGCGATGAATACATGCATTAAAGCATGTGTGGTCCGAGTTGGTATCAAACCAGCTACCTTGGCATTCTTAACCGCCACGCTCTGCTGCTTCCTCCTCATACGCACTTTAACACACTTTTCTCATTTTCTCTCCAGTTGGCCTCACTATGGAGCCATTTCCTGGTGGCGTTGCCCGAGACACACTCATTTCATGGAGTTCCTTCCCACCAGCTCGGCTTTCTAAAGGAGTTAGCTACCAACAAACAAAGAAAACAGGTCAATTACACACCCTGTAACTCTGCAGACCAGACCGGACTAGACTAGACTCAACCGCACCTGGGTTTACTAGAATAAGACCAATTATCAAAAAACCTGTTACAAGCAGGTATAGTAGCAACACGGAAATGACCAGACCATACAAAGCCAAGCTAATCAGGCCTAACCATACACAACTAAAGAAGAGTCCTCATGTAAAGTCTCTATTGTATAGACTAAGTAAATGAGTGCTTGAAAAAATCTATTTTGTAGCCTGTAGAAGTCACATGAGAATAATCGAACACACTAAAATGATTGCAGAGAGCCGAGTGTTTTTTGAAAATGAAATGAGGTATTCAGATTCAATGGAAAACAGATTTTGCAACTGCTTTTTACCCCAACAAACCTACTACTCTACTAGGTTGTCACTTTTAGATCAACTGCCCAGGCTTTGTAAATGTTGTGTAAAAACACTTCCCACAGCAGGGCAGAAACATTCTGTGTGCCACACACACACACACACACACACACAACATGAAGCAGCAGTCGGGGGGGCTCAGCACATGGACAGACAGAGGCGACATAGCGGCACAGTGGGTGGTGCCCTGTTATCTCAGCAGGTGAACCATCTATTTGTAACTGGTTTAACTTCAACTCATGACCTCACTCACAAGATGAGTCATGCATGTTCTCATTTTCCAAATGAAACTCAGGAGGAACGCTTTAGGAATTGCTTCATACAGACATCCATAGGGAGAGGAAGAAAAGAAGACAAGAATTCCTTATTATACGATAAGTATTACAAAAATGAAAATCCTCTAATCCATTTATAAACTGTACATATCAACATTATATGACTCAAAGCATTCATTCATCTCAAATCAAGAACAAACAAAAGGTTGCTTCAGGATTCTCCTGCTTAGCAGTAAGCACTGTAAGTAAATGATGTGGCCCCTTATTCGGTACATCATGTGTTTTCTTAGAATAGCTGCCTGCAGTGTTTTGTATGGTCAGTGGGAATCTCTTTTAGAATTCTACAGACTGAACTCACATTTCAGAGGCAGATAAGACACACAAACGGAAAAAAAGACTCACTGGCAGCTTTGATGAAGCTCCTCTGGTACTGGTACGTCATGAGAGGTCCGGGCAACACTCTGGAAACACAGAGAGGGAGGACGTCAGGTGCAGAATGTCTGCTTGGAAAATGGAGCTTTTCGAAAAATCAATAAATCCGGACAGTTCTGGATGAGCACTCATCTAACTATGTGCTCCTTCTCGTCTTTTATCCCCACCATCCCCATCTCCTTCGCCTAATGATTCCTGCTGGTTCTCAATGAAGCCTGACCAGAGGTCCTAATGCTGTTAATGTGTTCATGTGTCGTGTAAGTGTGTGGATAGTCGGCCTTTCTGTGAAGCTGTCCATTTAAGAGCGAGTGTATGTGTACGAATGTGTGAATGTTTGTTTGCCTGTGTGTTTGTGTTGTGCCCAGCGTAGATGAATTCAGGTACAGTAGAGTGAGCACAGCTTGAACACCACTATTCCTTCCCTCATTACCAATTGTTGAGAGAAAAGGGCGTCATTCAATCCTCACCGGCTATACAGTGACCAACTGTACAAAGTGAGTACAAAGTGGCGAACAACCCCGACAGGAAAATAAAAATGGATATCATGAATTTAAAAAAGTTTAACAAACAAATGCTGCATGAAAAAAGGAAAATTAACTAATTAATGAGGTGGGCCCAAGCCAGAGACTGAAAGCAGCAATATGCATTTATTCAAAAAAACTGCTGCAATATCCAGCAATAATTCAGAGTCATGAAAAGAGCGATCAATCCATTCACTACAGGTCTTTGAGGTTAAAATACATCAGATTTTTGATTACTGAAACACAACTATAAGGACATTTTGTGAAGCTGTTTCAAAGTGTTTTTATACCTTGTATAAGCATTTCTGTAAGCTATTTCTCACAAACCTGAGATAGTGCTTGATAGCACTCGTGATAGTTTTGATCTCCCACTCTGAGTTTTCCAGCTCCACGTCAGCACATGTCTTAGGATCTGATGGACAAAAAATAATGTTTTCATTGTTGTGAAGAGAAACTGTTCTGTTTTGACTAAATATGTGCATTTGTGTATTTACCCATAGCAAAACCTAGTAGTTTCTGTACTCTGGAGCTGACGCCAACAATTCTGTACAAGCCCTGATCATTGATACCTGGAGAGGAAAGGAGAGGTTACATCCTGTTGTTATTCCACGGACCAACCGAAACATGTTATGTATCTAAGTGCTTCCTCAGCAGAGCATTGTACACAGTTAGATCCACATCTTGTAATTTTGCTTGAAAAAGGACTTCAACGATCATCAAATTAGTGGCCAATTCATTTTCTGGTGATCGAGTAATCATTTCAGCTCTAAAATAGTCATCTATTCATAATGCACCTAATTATGTTTAAAAAAAAGAAAGCATCTGCTTTTTTGCTTCTGAAGTACTCTGTGTATATTTGACTCTTGATTAATTGACATAAAAAGTACAGATCTGAGCTGAAACGTAGAGGGCATCACACTAAAGAAGCAAGAAATCCACAGAACAAAAAGAATAAAACAAGAATCTGACTTTGTACCTCGAGTCTCCACTGCACGAATAAACTTTTTCATCACGTTGAACCCAATCACGTCCAGCTGGGTCACTGATGGAGAGCAAGACGAGCAGAGTGATGACAGTTTTAATTTACATTAAATCCCAAAATTATGTACAAATATCATTTTTTAGAGATACTGAAAACAAAAGTATTTTGACTATTCGTAGATAAAAGCAGCATCCATGCTATTTACTTTCACCCTAGCCCTGCCAAAACAGAAAGTCAGATGACATTTGTGAATAATACTGTACCGTTGAAAAACACACTTAATTGACATCGATTAAAGCAACTTACTGCCTTCAGCCTGGTTGTCTCTGTTCAGATTGTATACCTGCAAATAACAAACACATTTACAACTAAGCCTAATAAGGGCAGGGCATATTTGTACATCACATGTAAGGTCAACATTTCACACACGCACAAAAAAGAAAAACACACCTGACATTTCTACGTGTGCTTAATACGTTTTGAAAGCAAACGCTGCTTATTCCATGTATGAGAAGACACGAAATCTCCGGATGTTTCCCTGATCTTAGATACATCCGGATATTGAGGAACGGACACAAATGCTACATTTACTGTTGGCTTTTTTTGCAATCTGCATAACTTCAGTTCCAATGGTAATGGTGAGAATATTGGATGATTAAGTTGGAGCTCTGTGTACACCTTCATGCCCGAGCTTCGTTACATCGAAGCAGGGACTTGGCGTGGTTGCATCGTGTCGCTGTGCTCAGTGGCGAGTTCGTATTGACTATCAAGGTGGAGGCCGAGAAAGAAGAGGGAGGTCTTAACGACAACAACAACGGTAGGGACGAGCTTAAGTGAAACAAGAACAACAACATTTCTCGTTTTACTACCGACCGCCTGAGCTCAGCATCTGCTTGTTCAAGCTTGCGGTGGCTTTGTTGACGGTGATCACCTTTTCACGTTTGAATGTAGACACAAGGATGAGGGAGGTGTTGAGACAGGACCGTGACTAAATAAGAGTGTAGAAAAGAAGCACTAACACGCGCTTCGAGCCTTAGGGCAAAAAAAAGCTGCGTATCAAGATGGCATAAACCAAGAGGTGGGGAAAAACTGGCTGTGAGTCAGCTATTAGGAACATGAACACCACTAACAGCATGTACAGGGGGAGGGCTGCTGAAAACAGACCAGTGCTTCAAAAATCTGCCTGAATGTCGGAGCTCTTGTTTTGCTTTGCAGACATGTCCCCCCCCCCCCCCCCCCTCACTCATGTGTCACATAAGTACAAACCGGTAACCGTGGTAACCTACCGGTTCTCTCCCATCCATGGCCTCCATCCACAACCGGCGGTCTTCTTCCGACAGAGCCTGCATGGTGATCACTCCCGCCCTTCACATACACACAAAAGATACATTAGCTCGTTAAATATCAAGGCCACAAAGTCTACAAATACTGGCTGATGAACACACACACACGAAGATAAACACGCAAACACATGCTCGCCTGAAGATTGTTTTAGCGAACTATTATCAACAGTAAGGATACACTTCATTGAAAATACTTTGCTTAAACATTCTTATTGCTTCAGGTTGTGTAAAACGATCTTTGCAGGCAGATCTCATACTCCTTCAAAAGCAAAGCATATTCATTCGTGTGTGCGCCAAAGGTATGCCGAGGGTATCGTCTTCCAGGATAAACAGATGATCACCATAAAAGGAATAAAAAAGGATAAAGAAGCCTGAATACAAGATATTCATTTGACTAAGCTATTAAGATAGATCAGGCTGATACAGGCCACCTTCAGCGTGCGCACACACACGCTCTATCACGCACAGCCTCATTAGTCATGTCCATCCCGGGCTTAGAAAGGTTTCCAATTGGTCCTATACAGTCGGTCACCCTGTCAATGGCAGCACACTCACCTTTAGAGTACAATCACACTGCATGTGCACAGCCTCATTCTGCACACGCAAACACGAATACATGCAAAGTAAAACGAATGTTCACAATATTGACTGAATCAAGAGTTTTTATGACTGTCTATGCAACAGCAGCACACACATTCTGTGTAAACACACCTTTCGCGTAAATACCACTTTCTATTACTTTAAAGATAAATAAACACACATTAACAGATACACACAACACACACGCACACCGGTAATATGAATAAAGGCTCAAAGGGGAAATGGGAAATAAGCGGATGAGATAATTAAAAGGTGAGTTGATTTGATGGAGGAAGGTTGAAGTTGAGGAGGGGCAAGGAGGGAGAAGGAGGCGGAGGGGGGAGGAGGAGGAATGTAGGAAGAGAAGCACCAGGGAGCCGAGCATGAGAGGACAAACACCCTCCATGTTCTCTAATCGGGTCCAAATCATCGGAGCACCCCCATGTGTCTGTCAGCTGTCATTACACCACGTAAAAAGACCACATGCCAACCACTGAACGGATGGCTGATCGGAGCAATGTAGCTGCAATTAGTTACATGAAGACAGCGTTCACTGGTGTCAAATTCCATGAGGCTTCCATGACTTCCTATAACAAACCCTGACGCCATAACTATTTAACTCTTTTCTGGCTTGCTTGGGTCTTTTTCAGAAAGTTTTTTCTCCTACAGAATAGAATCTGGTGTATTTATGCTTCAATATTCTCCAGATTCCTCTTGCTGCAGATTTCTACAGTATGCTGGAGGTGGAAAAGCTGGAAATAAAATGCCTCAAAACTACACACGGAGAAAGCATGGCTGTTGGATTGCACTGGTTAGGGCCAATAGGGACACAGTTTGCACCCTGTACAGAAATTCAATGTGCTGTATTGATAAGAGAGGAAGTAACACACCATAGAAAGGAACCAGTTGGAGGTGGGTCAAAGGAAGATTGTGTGGGAAGTCCATGATTTGAACATGAGACACAGGCAGTCAAATCACACACTCACTGACCTGTCCACAGCCTCCACATCAAAACAGAACCTCTTTTCTATCGAGTCCGTCTTCCTCCTGGTGCAAGACTTGAGGGTGAAGCTCTCCTCTTCTCCCTGACACAAGACAAAAAGGCATTAGTATCATTTTGATGTACACATAACAAACTGCGGATTAATAACCACACCGTGGAGGACATTTGAGATGATCACGGATGTTTTATTGGACAAGACAGAAACAGATTGAGTCTTTCTGTGATCCGATGTTTCTACTTTTCCTTCTGTTGGCAACTCAAAATGCTCTGTGAGAGCCCTCAGAAAACAGGCCCGAACCTGCATCAGCTGTGTGTGTAGGTGGAGAGAGTGATAACAGATAGCACTTTGAGAAAATAGTTGGAGTCATGCTGCATACTAAACACATCTTTGGCAACGTTGCACTCTCATCTATTGTGGCTGCTGTTGTGGGAGAAACTGTTGCAGCTCTTCTAAAATTGATATTTCCGTGTATGACTGTATGCTGGTGGGAAATGGCACCGTGCGTCAGAAACGCCCCTCGTCTTGACGGTGAATAACTGATGTAAATCATTGACATTTTCTGTTGGTGATTTAAGGGGAGACCCGTCAAAAGTGTCGTTTTTTCGTGCATGGTCAATTTTAAGATTTTGGGCTATTTTGCTTCCATAAGATTTCTTCTTTCTGATTAGTTGAAAGAAAACATCCCAAAAAATACACATGTATGTTTATTCTGCTACATGTTTTCTATCTGTTGTGTTGGAGAGCAGCCCGGTGGGATGGACTGGGTGAGAACCAACTTAAAATAGGACAACATGATGATACGCTGTAGTGACACACATATGGGGGTGTGGATTATTTGCGCGCATATAGATATAGATAAATAGAGAGCAGATGGATAGCCTGGATGTTTAGTGACTGTAACCTCGCATATTTAAATGCCAAAGACACTCACCGTTTTCCCTCCTGATTTAGGGTCAAACAGGACCATGGTGACCCTCTTGGGCTCACGATGGTAGGTACAGTAGTACTTCACCCAGGTAGATACAAATGAGCCTGAGGAAGAGAGAGAGAGAAGGGAATGGAGACAGGTGAAGAGAGGGGGGGGTTAAAAATAAAACCGCAGAAGAGAAGAATAAAGAGAAACAGGTGATGTCAAACGGTCAGAAATAAATCAGAGACAGAGGCAGGAGGGGGAGACGGGGTTAAATTAAAAAAAAAAAAAGAGGACGGAAAAATATCGAGTCTTAGTCATGCCTGCGTTAGTGCTAGATAGGTTACCATGGTAACGACACGTGGTCAGAGCTGCTGTCACATCTCCGACAGATCAGACTTAGGTTCATTATGGTTTGTTTGTCCTACTGCTCTGACAGAGTGTGTGTGTGTGCGTGTGAGCCAAACAACGCGGCCCAACATGTGCCTACACACCTATCCACTCACACAGTCATTCATGTCTTCATTGTACTGAAACACTGTAAGTTGCTGCTGAATTGTTCCGTCGTTGTAAGATGCGACATGTACAAACACACACACACACACCCACACCCACACCCACACAGACACAATGAGAAGTGTGCCGACACGTACGCTTCTCCTGCACAAACAGGTATCCCTCCATGGTGTGCTGGCTGACACTCTTGTGTTCATGTGGATTCTCCTTCATCTTCCTCATCAGAATCTCCACCTCCGACCGCGTGCTCTCAAAGCGGTTCCTCGTCTGTCAACACAAGCACAGAGGAACACGCGCCTTAGGCCTTTCATTGTATGGCCTGATCCTGAGTCAGCTTAACGTGCAACAACAGTGTTACTACGTAAACTCTCTTTTCCAGCAGAAAAACATAATGAATGCTCATTGCTACAATCCCTGAATATCATATCTCTCTTTTTTTCTTTGCTCCCTTTGTTGTAGTGAGGTTTTTGAACGTTCTTTAGGTCTCAATTGCAAATTTCAGATGACTGAGTAACTGTTTGACATTTGAACTCCTGTCGGCACTGCAGCCGTTTCACATTTGGAAAGTTATTTTCTCTTAGACATCTTCTACCTTCTAAAATGTTTGCTCTGTGCCAATGAATGATGTAGCATTTTAGGGGAAGTGAAGTAGCCCTTTCAGTTAAGGATTACTGCTAAGAAAACCCTTTCAATGTAAAACTTATAAAACAAACACAACAGTAAGCCAGCAACTACTGTATGTTTTTGGTTTTATTTTTTTGTTCTTAGATTTGTTTTAAATTGCATAAATGTATATTTATGTGCAGGGTCGAAGGTTATGGTGCGACATGGTGCTTTGTTTGTGTGTGTGTGTGTGTGTATGCGTGTGTGTGTGTGCGTGTGACCTTACATTCTGTATGCTGATGGTGAGATCAGTCTTGAAGTGGTTGAAGTCCTTTGCCAGCTCATAGCCGTGGTGATAGTAGGTGAATAGGCCCTGAAGGAACGCCAACAGCTGAGGGAAACAAAAAATAGCAGGAAAATTAAGTAGATGAGGGAAGAAAGGACAAAGATTGCAAAAAGGGGAAGAAGGTAGATGAGGACAATGGGAAATAAATGCAGATGCAGTGTGAAGGCAAAGAGGAAGAGGATAAATGGAAAGTGGAAATATGAGAATGTAGAGTAGGAAAAGGTTGAGGAAGGAGAAAACAGGTGGGTTTAAAGAGGGTGAAGATGGAGTGGAGAAGGTGGAAGAGGAAGAAGAAACAGATTGAATAGGAGAAAAAGTGGACAGACATGTTTTATCTTGCAGATTCATAGAAGAGGTGGATTTGCAGCTATTATGTGGACCACAAAACAAAGACCAATTGTGAAATATAATGTTGCCATGCGACAAAGAGAAATGTAATATTATGAAAGGCAGAACATAAAACAGAAGCAGTGAATTAGAGCTAATTTGTAAAGAGTTAAAAGTCTCAGTTGTCATTTTTTCTTTAGCAACTACCACTGATGTACAGCTTTGATTCTCTGCCAGAATCCGGGCTGGAATTTCTCTGAATCCCCCCGGGCTTGACTAGAGTCGGGTTAGCCCCAATGTTGACTTAACAAACCACAACCCTGTCCCAACTCCGAATTAATGAATGAGGAAAAATGTCCACCACGATCTGGGTAGGCGCTATGTGTTTTGTTAATAGCCATTTGTTATCTTCATTTTAATTTGATCTCGCACTCTTTCATTTGTGCTTTCTGCCACTGGCCTCATTTCGGTTTTACAGGGAATGCGTTTTGCTCTAATCAATAACCTGCTGTTATGCATAATTCAAATAGACATTTGACTATTACTCATTCATTTTTCGCTGCAGTTAATGAGGAGAAATAATACAATCCCTATCTAATACATATATATGTTTTTGGGTTGTGCTGAACATTCGGTAGGAGAGGGTTCAGGACCGTGTCACAAATGTCTGTTCCTGCACTGACAGGACTTGTTATATTTTATTTATTTATTCATATTACAGTGGAAATACTCTTTTTTTAAATCAGGTTTGGACCCAAAATTGCTGCCGTGGCGTGGGCGTGGGTCGGGCTTGGACAGAAACGTGTGGGGTTCATGTCGGGTCAGGCCTGATTTTTTTTTGGGCCCGATCATAGCTCTATACTCAAGTGCCCTGGAGCAAGGCACCAGAACCTCCAAACCGCTGTTTGTCGATAACAGAGGACTGTGGTCGTAGTAAGCAGCTGCTGGGTGTGGATTAAGTGATTAAATGTAACACATACCACTGCTGAAAAAGAACATGGGTGTGCAACAACTTTAGGGAAAAGAATAAAAAAAAACAAAAAAAAAAACATATTACACAAAAGACAAAAATCAAGTGTCTTACGGGCTCCACAAAGTCAAACATCTTCCTCTCTTGGACCTCCTGCACCTTGAAGACGTACTCCAGAGAGACCTCGTAGAAATGCTGCCGGACGTGATCTACCTGGTTGTCCGCCTACAAAAGAGGAAGGACATCAAGAAAAGTGACAGACTGACATTCATGGAGAAATATGAGAAATACCACAGATGTGAACGACAGACACCATCTTACCTCATGTAGATGGGACTCCTTCTTTTTTGCCGAAAGGCTAAGGTGTTTCTCCAGAACTGCGCAATACTTCTCTGTCTCTTTATCATACTTTTTTTTGGCTTCCTATAACAGATACAACAACAACAAATTATATTTGGGTGACAGACAACTCAAAAGACTTCTCTTATCTTCTCTAATTCTCATCATATCAACATGATCATGACAAGTAACTTGATCAGTGACTATTATCTGCAATCAACAATAGGCCTTGTGCAGACGGGACAAAAATGTTCGAGCTGTGAGGTAAACTTCACTGAATGTGAATTTCTTTTAGCTTACGCCTAATATCTTCCCTCTTCTCGGGAGTCCAATATGAGACTGTTCCTCCGGGGAGCACAGCTGCTTCTTAAACAACAGACTGCTTCATCAGAGCTGAAATCACTGACATTACAGACGGACAGTTAGATGGATGGCAGACCAGGGACAGATCTAGCAGGGTGTGTACTTCCTGAGACTGCTGGGCGGAAATAGACTGAGAAAAGTTGAAAAATGTCCAAGAAGATCAAAAAATATATATGAAGGAAAAAAACACGTGTCAGTTGCTTCTTTTCTGGCCATGTTCTTCTGGTCACGTTAGGATCAGGAAACTTTAATCTAATTAAATCCAGTTGAAGGGGGAGGTATGGATATTAGTAAAGGGAGACATTGAGGGAAACAAGAGGAGAGAAGTGGACAGAAAAAACAGAGGAGGGGCAGATCCCTCAGTTAAGAAAGGCCCTGTGGGTACTATTACTGTACATCTGTCTCGGCCTGTCAACATTATTGCATGTATTCATCCCAAACTCATAACATGACCCTACTGGAGCTTCAGAAAGAAGCTCATAAACATGGGACATACTAACAGATTCTGAATATTTGGTTCTTCTGTTGATCAAATGTTTTACCATGAAAAACGCCCACAATCACCTTATCAGGTAAAAGTTCATATGTGAGGCTATGCTGCTTCTCTACGTCACTTTAAACTTAATATTTGGGGGTTTTTCTGGCCTGTTGAATAAAACAAGCTGTGAAAAGACAGATTTCAGCTTTAGTTTTTAGCTTTTAACCGGCATTCTATTCTTACACTTTATTCAGGTAATCGATTAAGAGACAAAAATGAGAAAAATGACAGTTTGTAACCAGTATTCCACAATGATATAAACAAGATGCAATTCAAAGTTACAGACACACATTTTTCACCAAAGTGATCCATCACGCAAGCTGTCTTGGAAACCAGTGAGCCAAACTTCTGTTTACAATATATTCATAACAATGAAATAATGTCACAATCAATAATGGTTGTGATGTCCACTCCTGCTGCAGTCACATGACCACAGGTTTTATTGCCAAGCCAGCTTCAACAACAAGAAGAGTCGTCAGTGTTAGAGGAGGAACCGACAGCAGCAGCTGCAGAACACATCAGAGATGATGAACGCTCCTCTAAACAGCAAGGCCTCGGTTTTAAGTCTGCTTCTTTGACTCCTTCATATTCACTGTGGAAATCATGTCCGACATAACTGCTGCTGCCGCCCTCTCCTGTCTGTCCCAACATTTTGACTATAAATGCATTAAAATAGAAGGGATAGAAGATTGATTGTCTGATTTCCTTTGTGAAAGTATTAAAATTCTAAATACACAACCAGTGTAAATGTCGTGTTTTCCATGAATCGTTTTTTTTATATCTGGTAAAAAAGTTAGGCGCATTTAAATTAGTTTAAATTACTTCCCTTCTCAGCCAGCAGGTGGCAACCTCCTCCCAGTGTGATGCCAACTGATGATTTACTTTTAAATAAATAAGTAAATGCCTTGGCACCAGATAAACACCTCACAGCTACAATAGAGTTTTACTCCACTTGCACCGTCATGTTAACAGTTCCTAGGAGGACCCACTGACACATTAAACCAACATCGTCACTCCCTGCCTGTTTCTCCGAACAACACATGGCATGAAACCTCTGTAAACATTACATTTATTTGTATTTCTTTTCATTATAGTTTACCACAGTATCAAAGTTCACCAACGGAAAAAGAAATATATTTTACTGTATTATTAATCGTGGCCTTGCATGGGGCTTAATGTGACTGAAATAGTCTGATCCCATCCATTCATCCAACTGTGAATGTGTCAACCTAAACAAGTTGTTTAAACTTACATTCACAGAAGGTTTGCAGACAGACCAATTTATCACCGAAATGCACAAATCAGATTATCCCTCTGTACTAGCAAAGATGATAGTAACATAAATCATTAATCTTGCTCATCTATGTGCGTTTACCTCGGCAATTATTCACGATCAGACCCAATTCATGTACTTAGACTTTGTTTCTACCACAGTTAATAAGATTATGACCTCGACCTGAGAATCCTTTAAACGAACAGTTTAAAACATGTTTCCCACTGTAATGCTCCAAAAACTCCTCTTGTGTCCGGACAAGGTGAAACTGTGTCCCGGGCGAAGATGCTGTCAGTTCTTTTAGGGCTAAACTGGGATTAGTACATCGCTCATGGTGACCTAACTGGACAGATTATGCGTTCACTTCTTAATCTGGCCACCATGTACAATCAAACAATGACCTGAATTAAGGGGGACGGATTATGAGAGTATTTACCGATAACATGATAAATGCTGCATGAATCAGGGGAACCCCCTGTGGCTACCCATCTAGGTCTCATGGCTAATGCTAAGAGTGAGTGCAACAGAACCTGCTGTAGGGAGATTTAAACACTGAAACATGGCATGTTTAAAACATGGGGCAAGGGATTACCCAAACATGTACCGTATGATACTTATCCTTTAACCTGAGAAAGTTGTAGAATTTGTTGTGAAAAGTCTGAAGTGCAATAAATTGCAATTAAAAAGTCAAATGAATGTAATATCTATACAGTAGATATTGAGCTAGCATGCTTCTGTTTACATACTGGCTTACTTTATTTTATGTTCAATGTTTCCATAACATCCTGTATATTCAGTCAAGGTATGAAAAGATTTACACACACTAAGTCTAAGACAACACCGGCCACGCCATGAGGGAGCCCTGCTGGCCTATGAGACCCCCCCCATTGATTTATGGCAGGATTATGTATTCCTCTAATCTCCTATCCAGGTCATGCACTGGTGATTCAGTCCTTGATTCATGGGTAATCACGGGAGAGGAGGAAGGCTGTGAGACATGCAGTAAAAATGATGTATTGTGTATTTACACTATAGCTTATTATTACAAGCCTGTGGGCACTTTCTCATAATCTTGGTACAAGGCCAATGTGTGGCTGTACAGTGACATCTGACTGAGATGGTGGACTTCACAATAAAGACTAACTAAGCCTTGTAAAGTGTCATTTGATTCAGTTTTTAGACATTCATGATCACTCAATTAATCACTGAATCACATCATTAAAAATGATTATCAATATTCTCAATATCACAGTATATTGAACGTTCCTACTGACACTCGAGGAAATACTTTACGTATCCTGCAGGAGAGGATCTCACTGGAACTTTAATATGTTCCATCAGTTTTAAAGAGGCCAGCAGGTGCAGTAGAGGTGACACTTTTCTCGAGCTGCTGTGGCCAAATAATTTCAAGGAAAATTAAAGAACAATGTGACTACAAACTTTTAGGGTAATTTACCCAGGTATATAGATACAATTATTTGAAAATAAGATAAACGGTAGTAATGTCTAAAAAGTGCTGGCGATGTGGAGGTAATGCAGAGGTGCAAAACTACCTCCAGTGTGTTGAGATCTTTAGTCATCAATATAAAAGAGTGTGTGTGTTATTATCATCTTTATATTTTGAGTGGGTGGTGTTGTGGAGCTGCAGAAGCACTAAAAGGATTTTATTGATTTACTGATTTATGTTTCGCTGCACAGCTTGTCAATACTGATGCGCAGGACATGTGTAGCCAAAGTCCTTTCTGTCACCGGTCCTGTGGCCGTGCACTATCGCCTCCTCACCTTGGCTGCGCTGATCTGTTCTTTCCTGAACCTCTCCAGAGGCATAATCAGCACATCGTTGGCATTTTCGATCTGGGGACAAACACATACAGGACAAAGGACTAAAAATAATGACTGACAATTTCTTAACTTAATTAACCGTCCTGAGAAGATTTGATTAATATTTGCTGAGTAATGATAACCATTATATACAAATTACAGTTCCCGTTCCTTCTCATCAACCACCGCAATATTTCAGTTTGTAGGGTCACTCACCATACGTGTCCTCTCATCCTCCAGGTTCTGTAGGACTGTTGCAAACTCCTGCAGAGACTTGGCTGATGACAGACACGTTGGTAGACAGAGCGAGACAAAAGAGAAAAGAGATAATTATCATGAGAGAGGCACACAAGTACAGGCAAACAGAAACAGGGAGAGTGTTTGAAGAGAGTTGGCACAAGTTGGCAGGGATAAAGCTCTTGGACCTCTTACAAATGTTTCTAAACTCATGACACAGCAGAGTAATTAACTGGAAATGACACCTCAATTTACAAGGTTAGTTTCCCAGCTAGCACAGCTCAGTGCTTGTTTCCACACACGCACACTTAAATTCCTCTGACATAGTGAGTACACATACATACTGAGCACATGCAGCATGTGCACTGGCATGTACAAATCATTGAAGCCCCCAAGTTGAATCATCACAACTGCACTTACACTCACTCTGCTCTTACATATTAGACTTTAAGTTAAAGGATTTGGTTCTTGGAAGTTAGATCCAACGAAAAGGGAAGCAGAACCTCAGGACTATGCAAGGAATGCTTTGGATAAACAGTGCGAGCCTTTAATAAAGCCCATGAAATGCAGTCAAACCTTTCATTAAGCTCAATCACACAGGCTTAATCAATCAAATGGAATAGTAAAAATGTGATACGAAGAGAATAACAATAACAGTAAAACTAACAGAGGGTATTTGTGGGGTATTTTTTATTTTTCTTTACAAAAGATGTAGATATATTTGCAGTGAAATCATCACTGTAGGAGAGAGAAGAAACAAGTTTTGATGTGAGTGCGACTATGAATATCCTTAACACAACAGGGCTGTGGTGCAGGCCAGTTGAGCAGCAAGCTGTTCAGGAAAGATAGCTAGGCTTAGTCAAACAACAGTAGTGGGTGGGTCGGGCCAGTGAGGAGCTGCAGCCTGCATCCACAGAGCCAGGCAGCATGAGAGGGTGTGGTGACTGCTGCATGTTTCACAGCAGGCTGCTTGGACAGTGACAGAAAGAGCACTGCAAGGCCTGGGTGAGAATAAAGAATCGGATCTGTAGGCCATTATTATTTACACATTATTCTCATGTGTGTATGGGTCAGCATGACGTTTATAACACTGGTTGGCGAGGGGGGAGAAGTTATCTTCAGACATGAGCAACATTGAGAAATAAAAAGCATATGTGCAACAAGCAAGAGCTGTGAAAATATGCCACTTCAAGAAGAGTACTTTAACATGTTTTATCATGAGGATAAGGAGACGTCGGCATTGTAATCATGACCGTGTATCTTATGGAAATGAAGCTTGTATTGTGGAGAAAGAGGCGAGATCAACACTATAAGCCTGACCGTCATCTCCACAACAGACGCGCCTGATGCCACTGGAAAAATCAACTTATTGATCGTTAGCACATCACATAATGACAACAGACAACTCAAAGTGAAGAGTTGAGGATTAGGTTTTTGCACATTTTGACTGGCTTCACCTTCTACATTTTGTCAAATACAGAAGAAAGTTAATTTCCAGGTAGTGAACATTGTATTGTAATTAGTTTAAAAACAAAATACTATTTATATAAGACAAACACATTATTGGTGGCACAGATTCAGGGCAGAGACATAATTCCAGACCGATTGTTACGGCCTCCTGTAGAATAGCGTTTAAACCCAAGCTGTTCTTTAAATCAGTGCTGATGCGACTCTTCTGTTTCAACAACTAGAAATGACAAAGCACCGTCTATTTGCAGGCTTTCCTCTGGGAATATATTGGATTTCACATCAGCAAGCTCACCTATGCATATCTCATCATCCGTCTCGGCGTCTCCAATACACTGGAATTTGAATTCGTTGAGTGAGTCAGCAAACTTCCTCTTGGCTGTTGACAGACCTGAGAGAATGGAGAGAAGACAACAAGGGGCAGTTAGGTTTACTGATGTTTTATATTACCGGTGAGGTCATTTAACCACATAAAGCATTGCATTCTTACTTTGGTTACCTGGCCTAAAAACATGCAATACGCCCATGGAAGAGAAAACCACTCTCTTGTCCCTGTTATGCAGTTAGTGAAAGTGAGAGCGAGAGAGTGGAAATGCAGACAGGTGGACACAGTGAGTGGATCCCCAGTGGTGTTAGTGATGAAGGTTGGCAGCTCTTACATTTGTGTGGAGGTTTCTGTGCATGTGTGTGTGTGTGCGAGTGTGTGCTGAGAAGTTCAACTGAAGTCACATTAGCCAAAGTGTAGCCTTTCAAATAATACATGAGGCCCTAAGAGCTCCTATGAGACAGACACTCACAGCGAGCTTCACTTCCCATCCATTCAAACTAAGGCAGGGTCATCTCCACAACAATATTTCCTGTTGCCGCTCTTAAATTTCTTGGAAACTGCATATTTTGAGGAAGAAAAAAATCTGCACCCAACTCTTTTTAAATGATAACCAACATTGATGCTTTGACAAATTGTTTCCTTTACTTTCATGGTCAAAGAAGAATGAAAAAAAAAAGAACCAGTATGATGTGGTCAACCCAAGTCCCCAGCAGGGATCTCCCTCTTTTCCAGAGAAGGGAGAACCGAAACTATGCAAAACGTGCGCCGGCAAATGTGTATTGCAGAGGAGTCTTGTCAACTACTGATAGAACTGAAAATGAAGAGAAGGATGCAGAGAAGTAAAGAGGGCAAGGAGAGAGGATAGATCAAGAGCCTCATGGAAAGACAGATGGGAGTCAAGGAAAGGACAGTGAGTGTAGAGGGAGAAGACAGACAGGGTGGAATTGACCAAGTTCATGTAAATCCCACACCATGCAAATATCTGTGTGTGTGTGTGTGTGTGTGTGTGTGTGTGTGTGTGTGAGAGAGAGAGAGCGTTTGAAAAGATCTGCTGCATCTTGCCAGTCGCTGAAATGAAACACAGACCGAGGAGCTTCTGCACGTGCTGCCAGAAACACACACAAACGCACGCACACACCACTGTCTCTCTAGGGATAGGCTCAGTAAAACACACAGTCACAGAGGCTCCGTAGCGTCAAAATAACTAGTATGACCAAACTGAGACCACATTCCGACCTTGGAGGATAAACTGTGGTTGTACGGTACCAGTGTCCGGTAAAGAAAAAGAAACGCTTTAGTTGTTCCAGAAATACCACAACACACTGTACACCATCACAATCCATGCAGCAATAGCAGTCTTAGGCTGTGACACACACACATTAAAATGAAAACTACAACAACGTTGGAGAACAGAAACAACACAAGTGAGATACAAACAAAAAGGGCTGTGCTGGAAGTGATACAATTCAACTATTATATATTTTGGATTTTAAAAATGCCTTCTTGGCAGTAAAAAAAAAAAAAAAGTTTTATTAATGCCAATTGGTTTCATTGTAAATAAGTAAGGGTTATTGTGTAGCACCTAAGTGTCATATTTAATAAATCAAAAATCACCTGTTTATTGAATGTTTTAGTTAAAACTTTATCTCAAACAGGTTTTAAATCTGACACAGTAACAAGTAGTGGACATGAATATTAAACTATAGATATGAGTTTTCACTCACTCGTGATGTTGTTCCCCAATGCTGAGGAACTGGAAATGTGTTGAGGTATAAGACAGCACGGCCTCTCTGTTTTTAAAAGCATTGCATGGCTCTTTGAAGCCACAGAACCAGCAATGTCAGCACATGGCAAAGTCATCTGTGAGATACCAGCAGCGACTCAACAGACCGGTGAAGGCTCTGCAGACAGATCAGGATGTTACCGAATTTATTAAGAATTCATTCATTGTTTTCATGCAGGAAACAAATATTAATTGGTTAACTGGTACAACAGTAAAATAATAATCAACCCTAAATGCGTGTATGCTATCACACATTTGTATGCTACGTGTCCACCGAGCTCCACAAAACAACACATCTTTCTCCACCGTCCTCCTTTCTCTTGCTCCTCTGTGCTCCATTTATTTCTGGCCTCCCTCTCCCGTCTGCCACTGACAGCTCCTCTCAGCACCTTGTCGGTGACACATGCCCGTCGTTGTTAATGTCTCAACTCTGGCTCCTGCCACACTCCACGTGCTCCCCTTCATAAACATCAAAACCAGCCTCAGACACACTTAGACTTGGAGCATTTCATACATTTTGTTCAGCCAACAGCATCAGGTTTCATTTGAACATTTTGTTTCTAATAACCACTACTGGCACAGTTTCATAGCAGTTTGAACTGACAGTCTTACACCCACCATTTTGTCAGGCCTCTTTTATCTACTTGTTGGGGCTCTATTTGAAAGACTCTTTTATTACAGCCGTTTTGTGATTTAGTTTATTTTAGGATCAACTCACTGCTAATCAAGCTGGCCTCTATGGGCTACTGTATTAGCAGTCTGTATTGTCAAAGCAACATTCTAAGTGACTGTTGAATTAAAGCTACAGTTGAGACAACTAACGTGCGACTCTTGCGTATGTTAACGTTTCCCTTTTGATATTTTCTTTCTTCTCGATCTGGGAGATGCGAGTTCCCTTTAGTATTGTACACATTACAGTGACTTTAGAGTGTCGCTTTAACAAAATGGCTCAACAAAACCCTGAAATACTTTAGAAATCACAATTAAACAACCATTGAATTGTTTTCATTTGTGACGGATGAGATGAGAAAAATAAAAAACACATACCTTCATAGTAATTCATACATTTTGCTGTGGACATTAAAGGCTGAACATCTGATTGCATCATAAGGCAAAAGTAACCGAAATATTTTGCATTGGGTGCAGAAACTATCATGAGTACATTAGTTGCAAACAAAATAATATGTTTTCAAATTGTACAAGCTCAAAGTTGTATTCACACAACACAAGTACCTTCACTGTTCATCTCTACTTGTGCTGGAGCATAAACTAAATACCCCGATGGCTGTGAAGGATGACTTTCTTCTCCTTTGGAAACAATGAGCTCAGGTTGCATTACTCAAAACTGTGATGAAAAACAAACTCGCAAGCATGTATTTGTGTTTAGCTGACTTGCCCGTGGAGGATGTTTCGCTCTACATTTTGGCAAACGACGTGATGAGGTAATGTAAGAGTTTGTTTTCTGGCTCGTCTTTGCAGATATACCATGCATGTCATATCGCTCCCCGTAGCCATAGATGCTGGCAACGGCAGCACACGTCGGACACACATGCAAATACGCATAAGTTGTTCACATATCTGTATACACACACACACACACATCCACTCAAAGCAGGGCTCTCAGCTCACTCAGACTATGTTTCCAAATCAAAAGCACATTGTTGGTCGATTGATTCTGGAAGATCTTGCCAACACAAATGAATTACTGCAATACAAAGAAAGAATTACATGCCACAGCTAGTACATTATCCAGAGAAGCTTTTGGGTAACATCTACTTGCAGATGTAGCGAGCACTGATGCCTTACCTTTTATGGTGCTGGAGCTATTTCGTTGCAGTGATTCACAAGTTCCAGCCCCAGGTCAAAAGATAATTAACAAACGTGGAGACAGAAGATACTACACACTGCAACATACTACATCAGAAGTATATTGAGGACTGGGAGAAGCGCCATATTATATCTGATGTGTGCATTTGAATGACACTAACTACAGCTGCCATGACAGTACGCAGTGATACTTCTGGCTAGATACCACAAGGGAGAGGTAAGACCTGTTAATATAGTACCTATTAGGGGCCTTTTAAGCCTTTATGAAAGACAGTGGTCGATGTCTCAACCCTTAGGTCATGGGGCCGTCCTGACATTAGCTATTTTTGTCCAATTCTGCACAATTTAGACTATACATTGACATTCATTTATGTGCAGAGTTCATGTACATAAACCACCAAACTGCACCTGCAGCTTCAGCAGCATTCCATCATTGGTATTGGTGCGTAGGTCTGTTGTCAAAGTGATAAAAATCAACCATTGGATTGAAAATATTTCAAATGTCTTGAATATGCAACATCAGATTTGCAGCTGAAGGGAAAAAAAGCCACTTTGTTGGGGTTTCCCAGATGCAAGATGCATGAATGATGCTATGCTGTCACAGCTCTTTTGTGGTCGTGTGTCAATGTGTACGCACGTGCGCGTGTGTGTGTGTGTGTGTGTGTGTGTGTGTGTCCATGTCCATGCAGGAAGGACAGCTAAGGACAGTGAGTTTTAAAAATAAGTGGCCCTGTTGACACTAGCCTCTCTGTCCTCTTCCCCTCTTCCTTCACACTTGGACGACAGAATTCCCCCCATTCTTCTCCCCTTTCACTCCCATCCTGAACACACGACAAAGCCCAGTGCAGACGCATACAAACAAACAAACAAACTGAATAAAAACGTCGCTAAAAGAAACCGTTAAGACAACAAACTCTTGTTAAAGTCAAACTTATTTGGAAGAGAAAATGAAGGCGAACTGTAAAATTGTTATCCAAAACGATCTGTTATATTGTTTTTGGCTCTGCATGGTAAAAACATATAGGCAGATATACGGTGTTAACATAATTGATAGAAGTGATTGCCACGGTTGCAACAATCAGATGAAAGTTGTGTCATGAAGTTGTTCATTCATCTAAATCCCAATGAACAGTGACATCTGCATGGTCAGCTGTAACATGGAGGTACATGTGCTTTCATGCTGACATGACATGTTGCAGTTTAGAGCAAAAGGGCCAAAGGTGGTCAGCATGGGGCAAACTAGTGACTTAGACTTCTGGTCACTCCTTACTGGAGCGTCAAACAGATCTTTCTTAAAGAGGGTTTACATGTCATGTGCATCAATACTGGTGAAGGGAATCCCGACAGCCACTCACATGCTTGGTCTGCAACAATGACATTTGATGGACAGTGGTTTGAATACTACTGGAATGAGGCTTCCTGCTCACAGGGAGGGAGGAAAGAAACACACACA